CAAACTAGCATAACAATCTGTTCATAAACAACAAGACTAGGGCCAGAGACTTTTAGTACAAATTTTATTAATACTATAAAAGGGTAAAACTTACCCAAACAGAACATGTACAATGATGCACAACACACATTACTTCTCACAAGTGTGCTTTTTCCACACAATGTCTTTCTCTTTCAATTGCCTAAACTCATCCTCGTCAAGGGAGAATTTATGATGCCCGTTTAAGATCGCTTGATCAATAATCACACAATTTATTCACTGAATAATCAAAACCAATATATAAGCCTGTGATTATGAGGAAAGTATTAAGAAGTGACAGATCACTGAAGGGTAACACTGACAACAGACTTAATAGTGATATTGTATGGATGAAAATAAAACTGAAATAACAATAAAAAATAGTAATTAATTAACCCAGTGCTTTCCCTGAATTCCATCACTGTTTCTAGGATTTTTTAAACAATGCAACCTAATTCATTTTAAGATTGCACTTTATCATAATGTTTTCAGTGTTCAAAAGAATAGATTGCATTTGCAGGGAAGCATAGTTGCACGCTGGTTTCTGCGCAAAGCGATACTTTATTAAATTATCAAGGCTTCTGACGTCGAAGCGTCCCGATTTACATGTTTTATGCCTTGCGGATTCTACCAATAATAACTTTGGCCTTCTAGCTGCACCCAATTCACTTGGCTATAATGAAGTATTTAGAGATAGCAAATTCATTCTTTGTAACTTCCGGGTCAGATGTACTTGGTCCAATGATTTAAGTTTTAAACTTCTCGGTTAAGTTTGATTAGTTAATTCTACATCTACCTGGGTTCTCAGATATGACGTTACATGGATTGACTGTACATGTTCAATCCAAGTTTCGCTCGAACTGGTTCTGAGGTCTCGTGGATTGCGACTAAGCTTCATTTACCTTGTCTCAGGCCTGTTCCGGCAATTCACGGGCAGAAATACTACAATTTGCCAGTTATTCCCGTTGTCTCAGCACTCTCAATGGTCATATAAGTGAAATGTCTATCGAGAAAAGTCCTGCGGTTCAGATGTGTCTTCGTGTATATATTTATATATATATATATATATATATATATATATATATGGAAATTTTTAATACATTGTCTTGATCATGTTCATTTAAAGCAATTGGCTCTTCATAAATGCTTCAGCAATGGTATGTTTGGCCCAGGCATTGTTTGTTCATTTTAAATAATTCCGTAATTCATATATCCATGGCTAAAAACGAACAAAGTGTTATTCAGATGATGTTTGCTCTAATGCTGTTCAAATGACTGGACCAAAATGTAATCCACATTAATGTTAAAATCTATCGCCAATATGCTGCTTGGATCCAATAGTCATGCTGCAACTACTTCCCCATTGGTCTTATTCATCCATTCCTAGCAGGTGCTGCCATTAGTAGCAGTATTGAGTTATGGTAACTGTTTGCAAATCGCATTGCATTCACCTTGTGTCAGTAAAACTGACGGCAAATGCTAGCCACTGGTGTGCTCAGTGAATCTAAAAAAAAAAAAAAAAAAAAAAGGTCTTCTAAATGCAGTGGAATCAGAGCTAGAGCAGCCATTCCGGTTGGCATTTTGACATCAGAATTTCTGAAATCAATCCGGTATTGCTCCACCTCGTTAGTAAATTAACTAATATTGTATTTAATAATATTACTTTTCCAAATTAGCCATTTGCCCTGTAACATTGGCAGTAATTACCTCCGCCAAACAAAGTTGGCTGGAGGTTATGTGATCGGCACCATTTGTTTGTCTGTTTTGTTTGTGAACAACATAACTCAAAATGTAATGAACAGATATCTCGGAAATTTTGTGGGTGGGTCACTATGACATCAGGGATAGACCCTATCGATTTTGACCGCGATCAGTAAAACAATATGGCCGCCACGGCAGCCATCTTGAAATCCTATGACACACGATAACTGAACTTTGCTCACACTCAGCAAGATTTGGACCGTGCTGCCTTGGCGAAGGTTTGCACTCTAGGAGTGCCTCCAGTGTTCTTGTATAATCGTACACACACTAGCACCCAAGTTTGGGTAAAATTTTGATGGCTATGTTTTGCTTTGCAAGAAAGCGTCGGAGTGCTTTCCAACATCAAGCTCGCGTACTCAAGCTGTGGCTTATCTTGCGCATGCTCAGCAATGCCATGGTGCTGCACGTTGCCGATGGCTCTCTAATATTTACCCCATGTCAGCAACCAGCTAGTGCTTGTGGTCCTCTACTTATTTCATTCAAATCATGCCTCTGCATGCTCAGTATGTCCTATAGCCTCTAACTGTGCCAGTTGCTAGGTTGATCCAAAAGTCATGGCTCCAAGGCTCACTGTCATTAGCCTCTGATGTTTGGGTTTTGTAACATCATTGGTTTTGGGGGGGATTCTAGTAGCTTTCTCAGCTTTCAGATTCAAGAAGGCTCTTTACAGTTTTCATTCATGACGTGTTTATGTATACATGTATTTTTTTCTTTCCTTGTTATATCAACTTTATGGAGTAGGCAATATTATTTCATGGTACATTCATAGCACTGCTTCCACCTGTGTTCTCCACTAATTGCCTGGTTTTTGTTCTCTCCATGTCCACGGTGGGCCCTGCTCTGAGCATGCTGCTGCTGGTCTTCGCCATCAACGCCACCTGGCCTCTGCTCAAGTGCTGCTCCACCTTCGAAATGGTTTAATTCATGGCATCTATTCAGCAAACAACAAATCCTGGACTACTTTTCAGCAGTCCCTTTCACATCATGGCAACCATGAACTCTCCCCAGGGATGGTCAGAGGAGGATGGACCACCCCTCTTAAGCCTGGTTCCTCCCAAGGTTTCTTCCTATATTTGAGCCACATAGGGAGTTTTTCCTTACCACTGTCACCACTGGCTTGCTTTTGAGGGGGTTCAGACCAGGGTTTACTATGAAGTGCATTGTGACCAATTGAATTCCCTGGTTCATCACAGAGGCTGGGAAACCCATTCCTGGTTTGCTGCTCAGCTCCGCCTCATTTGTCAGTACTATGGCCTCTCCCTCAGCTCTACACTCCTCTCTCATTCCATATTCCAGCAGCAACAACTGCCGCCTTCATGGCCTTATGACAAATTATTAAAGGCCATGGGACATTGGACATCTTCAGCCCATGAACGTTACCTTCGCCCAGGAATGAAGGACATTGTGGAAGCTCAAAATGAATGAGTAAGATTGTGTAAATTGTTAACCATGTTTTGTATGTTAAATGAAATCCTCTTGTACTTGTATCTGTTTCACGCATCGTTCAGAATACTTTTCTATACACATAGACAAAACACAAAGCGTCACTCCTCAGCACCAATGCAATGTCATTCACCACAATATACACTTTAATAATTATTAAAGGTACCAGCCTTCTTGTTATACTCTTCAAATCATATAGTATAATTCTCATGAATCTGATTTGAGAGGACTATCACTACATTTATAATATTTAATTTGGCTTCAAGAAAAATTGTGCCAGCTGCCAGGCTGTCACTACACATACTACACTTCACATAGATTATTTCATTTGTATACAGCTTCAAGAGAATTGTGCCAGCTGCTGGGCTGTCACAGCACGGTCTCACATAAGATATTTTTCTTTCTATTTGGCTTCAAGAGAAATTGTTCCAGCCACTGGGCTGTCACTACACATAGTACACTTCACATTGAATATTTCTCTTGTATTTGGCTTCAAGAGAAATCATTTCCAGCCGCCGGGCTGTCACTACATATAGTACACTCACATAGAATATTTCTTCTGTGTTTGGCTTCAAGAGAAATTGTGCCAGCTGCCGGGCTGTCACGACACATAATATGCTTCACATAGAATATTTCTCTTGTATTTGGCTTCAAAAGAAATTGTGCCAGCCGCCAGGCTGTCATGACACATAGTACACTTCACATAGAACATTTCTCTTTTATTTGGCTTCAAGAGAAATTGCACCAGCCGCTGGGCTAGAACATGTCTCTTGTATTTGGCTTCAAGAGAAATCGGGCCAGCCTCCGGACTGTCACTACACATAGTACTCTTCACATGGAGTATTTCTCTTGTATTTGGCTTCAAGAGAAATTGTGCTAGCTGCTAGGCTTGCCACTTAACCTATAGAAGCTTCATATTTCATACCGTTGGCTTATGCCTGCATGGTTCTGTTTTGGGGGGTAAGTTGCTGCTCCTGCCTTCGGTTCCACACTGGACTGGACTGAGTTTAAGAACCATAAGTTAACGTTAGCCAACGTTGGCTCAAGGGTTTGCAATCCTCTGATTACATGCCTATTATCTGACCAACTGCGATGAGTAACAAACTTCTGCTGGCGATAAATGGATGAAGCTAGCTTGTGGGTTTTGAACAAAACAAATAAAAAAAAATTGGGCTCAATAATCAGCAGTCGACCCATGCAGAACTATTTATTCGCTAGCTAAATAAAACAGTTCATTATCCTAAAGGGTAATTTCCAATGGACACCAGATTTCCCTAGTCATTCTCAGAGGCATGTAATGCCTTCAACCAGGCCGACATCATGCAAGCACAGGGAAACGGGGCTGTGGTAGCGCAGGCCTCGCGCTCCGGGGAACTGCGCAGTCAGAGTGGATAACAAAACTGGGTCATTGTCTTCGGATGGATCTCCATCGGCTCCTCATTTTCATCGTCCACCACCTGAATGTATTTCATTGCTAACGTCTGACAGAAATAACTAGCACAAGCCCTGTCATGCCTACATTTATTTAACCTCTCTCAACGCACTTCCTATTTCTAAGAAGTCACTACACATAACGATTAATTTCTATCAAGTGAATGCTGCGTTTATACTAACACACATCACATCTTTCATACGTTAGTGATTTTGACGGACAGTCAAAAAACTTACCTGAAATAATGACGCAGACAGCAAGCCATATATGTGTGACAGTTGATGGGTCCTGTCACCAGAAATGCCTCCTAATAAGTATGCACCCTGGCAACCTTGCCAACGAGCCTGGCTCTTTGGCGATGTGGTCAGCACTTGTGACTCTTACCCAGAAATCTGGGGTTCAATCCCCCACCCGGGCCGACCTTCGGCCTGCCATATTCTGGTGTAATCGACAGGATCTGGGGGGATCCCAATGGATGACAGCATGCGTAAAGCATGGAGCGTGAGGACATGCTCCCGAAGGAGGGGGAGAGATGTGACAGTTGATTGGTCCTGTCACTAGAAATGCCTCCTAATAAGTACGCACCCTGGCTACCTTTCCAATGAGTCTGGCTCTTTGGTGATGTGGTCAGCACTTATGACTCTTACCCAGGAGTCTGGGGTTCAATCCCCGCCCGGGCCCACCTTCGGCCTGCCACATTCAGTGAGATTTCCTGGAAATGCAGATGTCACGCAGCCTCCTAATTGTTGTCTTTTAAGTGCCATAAATTATGTACATTATTTTTTGACGGAGTGGGGTGGACCTTTTTTCTAAAAAGCCTGACTACTGATGAGCAGAGACAAGACTCACTAACTTCAGCATAAATGAAAACACGACTGTGCATATATTATGGAGCAGTCACTAATGACTGTGATATGTTTGACGGACGCACTAACGCACGCGAGGGGAATTTTTGAGGAGAGTTTTTTTCTTTATTATGAGCCATAGATGTTGTGTTTCTGTGTGGCTCAATAGCTTTGAACCCCATTAAAAATGTAAGCAAATAATTATCACAATTTGGACTAAATTAGTAAAAATATCCAGCCAAGTACACGGCTACCTGAGGATTGTGATGTTTGCCAAGCACAGAAATAAGTGGCCCCTGAATTTTAATTTTCTTTCCTTCATTCAGGGCTTCATTGATGGTGCTCTAACTATCTGTCCTGTCTCATGAATATTTAAATTAAGGCCACAAAACAGAATTTACTGATTTACTGAAATAGGGAATACTTTATCATGCGATGGTTTTAATGAATTGCCATATTAGACCTTAGCTGATTGTGACTCAGATATATATATATACTGGACAAAGAAAGTTAGGGATCACTCTGATTTTTAATATTGAAATATGATATGGAACATAATTTGAACTATCAAATATTTCAAATTCGAAAATTGGGGTGATGCCTAATTTTCTTTGTCCAGTATATATACTATTCAAAAAAAGTAGGGGATATTTTATTTTGAGATCAAAATTTTCACATATACAAAGGATACGAAACCATGTTGTATCCCTACTGAGGAAGCATTTCAAAAAATTCATCACCCAAACACATCAATGACACTACGATCTGCAATGCTATTGATGATCAAGGGGGGTTTGCCAAGCAAATTTGCATGACTCTGAATTGGAAGGTTAGAGCCACAAAGGAAGATTTTAAAGAGAAAGCATCAGATTATCAGTTTGAAGTCAATTAAACAGAGACCATGGGCACATTGATGGCATGCTCAGGTTGGCAAAGACAGGTCTTTGAATGTTTCCCAGTCTGTCATCAGCAATTATGGTCCAACATTAAGGGTCTGTTCAGGATAGACCACGATCCGTCGCAAAACAACTCAGGCTCAGGACAGATTTCCGCACTATTGTCTTGAGAAATCGATGGTAACAGCAAATCAGATAAGGTCTCAACTTCAAAGTGATACTGGCTTTTGAAGACCATCAGGAATCGTCTGCACAGATTTCATTACACGCCCGACGTCCTTGTCATTCCCTGTTTGAGGGATGACATTAGGGCAGATATGGTATCGTATCATCAACGCTGGATAATCGCCGATGGAACAACGTTGTTCTCAGATGAGTCACACTGACTTTTGACAGATTTGAAATATGATTTCCATGACATTAACGAAGACATAATTGGATCTGAACATCACTGCAGAACAGACTTGCATGTTGTTGCAAAGTACTACCGAAAATCTTGGCACCCCATGTTGTGCCGTTTGCACGTCGTTATGGCGCCGATTGGATAGTTACAGATTATCCAGCAGCAGAATATTCCATGGCCAGCACTCAGTCCGGACCTTTCCCCCCGAGCATGTCTGGGACATTTGGACTCCCAATGTCCAGAACTTGCTGCAGCATTGCAACAGGAATGGAATAATGTTCCCCAAAATGACCTGGGACGTTTTGTCTAGCCAACCGAGGGGTTTTACCCGCTACTGACTCTGTTTCACAATGGTGGTAAATTTGCTGTGTGATTTTTTTGTCATATTCTGGAGAATCTGTCCTTTACTGACTGTAAATTTGATTCAAATGATCATCATGATCTGCATTTCAATTTTAATGAATAGTATATATACTCTTCCCGACAAAAAAAATGATTCAATCAATACAAATTTTAATGTTAGACAAAAATGAAACAAAGTTTAAAGTAAACAAAATGCAGTTTTTCAATGATGATTTCATTTATTGAGGGAAAACGCAATCCAAACCTACCTGGCTCTATGTGAAAAAGTAATTGCCCCCTAAACCAAATAACTGGTAGTGCCAACCTCGGCGACAACAACTGCAATCAAGCGCTTGCAATAACTGGCAATGAGTCTTTCACATCCCTGTAGAGAAATTTCAGCCCACTCTTCTTTGCAGAATTGTTTTAATTCAGCCACATTGGAGTGTTTTTGAGCATGAATGGCCTGTTTAAGGTCGTGCCACAGCATCTCAATTGGATTTAAGTCCGGACTTTGACTAGGCCACTCCACAACTGTCATTTTGTTTTTTTTTAAGCCATTCAGAGGTAGACTTGCTGGTGTGTTTCGGACCATTGTCCTGCTGCATGAGGTCACAAACTGATGGTTGGACATTTTCCTTCAGGATTTTCTGGTAGAGAGCAGAATTCATAGTTCCATCAATTACGTCCAGGTCCTGAAGCAGCAAAGCTGCCCCAGACCATCACACTAACACCACCATGTTTGACTGTTGGTATGATGTTATTTTTATGAAATGCTGTGTTAGTTTTATGCCAGATGTAACCGGACGCACACCTTTCAAAAAGTTCAACTTTTGTCTTGTCAGTCCACAGATTATTTTCCCAAAAGTCTTGGGGATCATCAAGATGTTTTTTTGGCAAATGTGAGACGAGCCTTTGTGTTCTTTTAGGTCAGCAGAGGGCGAGACCTGACATATGTCTTGTGTCTTATCCCGTGTTTTATGTTGTATATCTATTGTAAAGCACTTTGTGATTTTTATCTGTGAAAAGCGCTATATAAATAAAATTTACTTACTTACTTACAGAGGTATTTTAGCCTCATACAACTCTACTTTGATACAAATCCGAAGTCGCTCACCCTTTAACCAAGCTTTCGGTCAGAATAGATGAACGCTAACTCTGAAGCAGCCATCTAGGATATGTGTAAAGTCAGGGGATGTGCTTGCAAGCACTTAGTGGGGTGGGACCTCAATACCGTGGCTCAACCCCCTGATCACCACTGCGTAGACTTTGGCTCGAGATGTGAAAGATGGATGCCTCCACACAAAGGATATTTTAACCCCATTATTGTACAGTTCATGGAACGGGAGACACATCGTCCATCTTTACACACAGTCTATGATTCACAATGGTACCACTGTGGCAAAATCCATGACACAGGGTATAAAAAATTTTATTGACTCAAAACTGTACGCAATGATTGATCAATATCCACAACAGTGTGAAAAATAGGAAAAAATAGGAATTTGTATGGAAAATAAAAATAGGAAAAAATAGAAACTTGACACCCTGCTTTTCTAACATTTAACTGTGTTCATCTGCCATTGAGTTCACTCAAAAATTCTACATACCAAAGTGGAGAGAATGATAGCCGCACAAATGGCAGAGTCCCAGAATTGTTTTTTTTTTTTTTCTCCTTCCAATGCGGCAAAGTATCTTTCTTGCAGTTAAAACACTATACACATAAAATAAAAATGGATGAAATTGAATTGATAAATTTGTAATTGAGGCAGTGTGTCCTAGAGCTAGGGAGGATTGGTGAATTGGGATACAAGTTTTATTTCTAGTGTGTGCTTTTATTTCTACCTGAATAACTGGGTACCAGGGGGCAGCTTGTTAAGGCTGCATATGGCTTGTTACGGCAACAAAATCCTTGCACGCAAATCAGTCTTGACTATGGATACTAGTGAGAAAGGCCCTCCAGCATTAGAGAAGTTTTGAGAAGTGTGTGTTTAGTGTGTTTGAGAAATTATAAGCTACAGTGTTTTATTAGCAAGAGTACTGAGACTGGGGACAAACAGAAGATTAGACTGGGGATTTTACACAGAAAACACCAGCAAAGGTGTTGGCTTGACATACCCTTCTGAGAGCTATTTCAACCTCACGATTCTCAGTGATCAGGTTGTTGAGTCGTGTACACAACCGACTGATATCCTGCTGCATTTTGGCCCGGCGACTCTCTGAGGTTTTTCTGCATGACATGTTCTGGTTCTCCGCATCCTGCAGCATTCGAATCATAAAGTCCTCTGATGTCTTCTCCATCCGAAGCATGGAGCTCTTTAGCTTCAGGATAACCTCATTCTTCTTTAAAATCTGAAATCATTTGCGGTAATAATTAATACAGATGTTGAAGCTTTGTTCAGTAATATTGATGATTATTCTGAAAATTTGAGAGCTCTGGGACTGTATCCGACTACAAAGGCAAGAGAGATCACCAACAGGTTTTCTTTTGGATTCAACAAAATAGCATTAAATAGTAATGCCTTTCTTTTCTAGGATAGGCATTTCTTTTTCAGGTGAACAAGGGAACAGGAAGTGAAAGAAAGCACAGAGAAGTCTCATCTCAGGAATCCCAACTATTGCAACCAACAACATTAAGTAATAGAATTCTACTTCCGTGTGCCCTCTACCCATCTCCATTTTTGACCATTGTGCTATACAGCACTCAGATCTGGCCCTTGATTCCAAATCTGCCTTTGGTTTTCTTTCCAGCCTGTCAGGTAATTAACTGAACAATTAGTGAATCTTATTGGCCAGACTGTCCTCACACCTGATCCCCCGTGAAAAGAAGAAACCATTTTGCCTGACATTGGGGACTGTGATTTGAAGAGCAGAGCCATGCAATATAAACTTCACTAACCTCCTCTATTCTCTCCGACTCCCTTTAGTGAAAAGCGCAAACTGAACTGACCACTTCTTAGCAAAATATACATTAATTAAATATTCATTGAATATTAAATGAAGTACAAGAACTGTCAACTCTGTCTATTGTATAATGATGCACAGAGGAATAAACATGGAGATCATAAATGTAGCGTGATTAAATCTTATTTATTGCACCGTTCCTCCAAGAATAAAGGTGTAAAGATATAAGTTTGTTGAGTCACTTTGATTGCAACAGCTAGTTGATGGATACAATATTTGGCGAGATTAGCG